TCTCAGAGCACAAGCGCACTGCTCTAACCCACTAGGCCCTGGGAACAAGCTTATCAGACACAACAGTTTCCAGCATCAGCTTGGGCCTTCTACCGGAGCTTATGGAATATCTGTGATGATACGTGGTAGAAATAAGAAAAACAAAATGGGAACAAACAGGAACAGACACTTAAGAGTCATAAACTGTCAGATGCAGCCTGCCAAAGAGACAACATCAACCACTAATTCATATAAACTGGCTTTATTAAACATTAGATCTCTGTCAGGAAAATCCCTTTTAATTAATGACTTTATTATTGACAATAATGTTGATGTTATGTTTTTAACAGAAACATGGTTACATGAACTTAATGAAGCACATATTCTGTTGGAGTCATCTCCTCCAAACTACAATTTTTTTTGCGAGAGCAGACAGCAAAGGAAAGGTGGAGGAGTGGCAACATTGTTTAATGACTCACTGAATTGTAAAAAGGTGTTTTTGGGAAAATTTGACTGTTTTGAACATTTGGCTCTGCAGGCAAAGGGCCCGGTACGAACTATCTTTCAAAATGTTTACAGGCCTCCTAAGTCCACGTCAAACTTTTTTTATGATTTTAGTGACCTCCTGTCTGTGATATGCGTTGATTATGACTGTTTAATTATTGTGGGAGACTTTAATTTTCACGTTGACAACCCTGAAGACAGAAGTGCAAAAGAACTGTGTGACACACTTAGAAACTTTGGTTTAACTCAACATGTTAAACAACCAAAGCACAAACAGGGACATATTTTAGACTTGATCATCACTAAAGGTCTGAAGATTTCTAAAGTCAGTGTTACTGATGTTGCCCTATCCGATCACTTTTCTGTTACCTTTGAGGGCAACATTTCCAGTGACTCATTTAGCCAAAGGGACATCATAAGAAAACGCACCTTTAAGGAAAATGCCACAGAAACTTTTATTCAAGCTTACTCTGCTACTTCAACCTTGGGGTGCAAGTCCAATTCAGCCAAATAAACTACAAAAGCTTAGAGGAAATCATTCAGCAGCTAAGTTCCTCCTCCTGCTGCCTTGATGTTCTACCCACAGCTTTCTTTAAGAAAGTTTTGCCTGTCATAGCGTCTGATTTGACTCAGATAATAAACACGTCCCTTCTGTCAGGTGTTTTTCCCGCAGTCCCTAAAAACAGCAAATATCAAACCACTGCTGAAAAAGAACAGTTTAGACAAACTACTACTCCAGAACTACAGGCCCATATCAAACCTCACCTTTATCAGCAAGATTATTGAAAAAGCAGTGTTTCAACAGTTAAACACTTTCTTAGATATGACCAGCCACTTTGACGTGTTCCAGTCAGGTTTCCGTGCTCACCACAGTACAGAGACCGCCCTTATTAAGCTGTTTAATGACATCCGTATAAATACAGACTGCGGAAGAACCACAGTGCTGGTACTATTGGACCTCAGTGCAGCATTCGATACTGTAGATCACTCCATCCTGTTAGAGCACCTGGAAAACTGGGTCGGCCTCTCTGGTACAGCTCTCAATTGGTTTAAATCATACTTAAAGGACAGGGACATTTTTGTCTCAGTCGGCAACTTTACATCAGAGATGACAAAAATCACATGTGGGGTTCCCCAAGGGTCCATCCTGGGTCCCCTCCTATTCAATATCTATATGCTCCCTCTTGCTCAGTTAATTAAAAACAACAACATCAGCTATCATAACTATGCAGACGACACACAGCTTTACATCACCATGTCACCAAGTGACTATGAACCAATTCAAGCACTGAGGAAATGCTTAGAAGAAATCAATGCCTGGATGTGCCATAATTTTCTTCAACTGAATAAAAACAAAACTGAAGTAATGATCTTTGGACCAATAGAGGAGAGATCTAAAGTTAGCACACAGCTTCAGTCGCTTCAGCTAGTAACCACTGATCAGGCCCGAAGTCTAGGTGTAGTACTAGATTCAGGCTTGAACCTCCAAAAGCATTTAAAGACAATTACAAGGTCAGCTTTCTATCACCTGAAGAACATTTCCAGGATTAAAGGACTAATGTCTCAGCATGATCTGGAAAAACTAATCCATGCGTTTCTTTTTAGTCGAATTGATTATTGCAACGGTGTTTTCACAGGTCTGCCTAAAAAGTGGATCAGACAGCTGCAGCTGATCCAGAACGCTGCTGCCCGTGTCCTCACTAAGACTAAGAAAGTAGAGCACATCACCCCAGTTCTAAAGTCCTTTTACTGGCTCCCTGTATCTCAGAGAATAGACTTTAAAATACTTCTGTTAGTCTATAAATCTATGAATGGCTTAGCACCTAAATACATCACAGACTTGCTATCAGTGTATCAACCCTCCAGACCGCTCAGGTCTTCTGGCTCCAGCCTGCTCTGCATTCCTTGAACCAGAACTAAACATGGAGAAGCAGCATTTAGTTCCTATGCTCCACTTATCTGGAACAAACTTCCAGAAAACTGTAAAAGTGCGGAAAGCCTGAGTTCCTTTAAATCAAGACTTAAAACCATTTGTTTAGGATTGCCTTCGACTGTTCTAGTTAAACAGTTTAACTGAAACATATTTTCTTTAATCCAAATGTTTTTAATATTCTTTTTTTGTTTCTGCATTTTTTTTATTTTATTTTATTTATTTTTTATTTTTTTATTTTTCCTACTTGCTTTGATTCTGTTTTATCTTCCTGTATTTTAATCATGTAAAGCACTTTGCATTGTCTTTGTACTGAATTGTGCTATACAAATAAATTTGCCTTACCTTGCCTTGCCTAGGCCATTTTCTTTTCTATTCTCTTCTAATCTGAACCATCACATTAGTTAAAGTCCAGTAAAATCCTGACACCTCATACCTGACTGCATGTTGACTCTACGCTAGACTTGCACTACATTGAGAAAAATAAACCCTGAAATGTTGAAGAATGAATTTACAGCTTTTCTAATTTGGAACAAATGTTATTTGAATTTATATACTCCAGAGTTAAATGACAGGAGCCAATAAAACCCTTCATGGTGCATCAATGTCTGTATCAGTCATCTAGAAATCTGGCTTTATGAGGGGGAGTTAAATTGAAGAAGAAGAATCCCTCCTCCGTCTGCTGATCCAACTAAGGCTGCTGTGAAACCAGGAAAAAGAGGAAACTATCCGTCTTCCTCATTAGCGGAAGGCTCATGTCTGAACCATCTGTTTGTGGTGGATTAAGGCTTCCTCATGGCTGCTTGAATGAAGCCCTGGATTACATCCTACTCCAGTGTTGAGGAGAGGCGATCATGTTTCAGAGGAGTTTGTGGAGCTCTTCATTTGCCCTTATTAGTGAATTTATGGTTATTTGTTTTGTTTTTTAGTCTCTCCACTTTTCAGACACAACTAATTTGTTTCATTACTCACCCTGAGTTCACATTGACTATATTCTGTGGCAAATTGTGCCTTGGAGCAACTCCGACTGAATGTGTGCAGGATCCAGGTCATGCATCCGGACAGCCCCTCCCCTCTCTTCTTCTGCATCTGTTTTACCCCTCCCTCATCTAACGGGCTGCGCTGCTCATCTGCCTGATATCTTTGAATTCTATTTATTTCATTACAGTTCATTTTTTATGCTCCAATTCATATCCTGTCATCTCAGGTCACTTCTAGATCCAGATCAACCAGATCATCCAGTCATTGATTCTCTCCTCCTGGATGAGCAGGTGAAGACAGGACATATTGACTCGAAGGCAATCCCTCACACCAAGCATGCTTGTAACGACAGTAGAAAGGAAAAACTACCTTTGAAAAGGAAGAAACCTCTAGCTGAACCAGAACCAGTCTCAGTGTGAGACGAGTGGTTGTTTTAGTTCATTTCTGAGATCGTCCAGCATAATTTATTATCATGAAGCACCTAGACAGAGGTCAACCTTTTTTAGATCTAGATATATTCATGTCTTAAAAAACCCTAGTTAAAGTACAGACAAACTTATTGGCCTTAAATGGCCAAGCTCCATCTTACATCAGAGATCTGATTGTTCCTTATGTTCCTAACTTCACTCGCAATCTGCAGTTTTACTAGTGGTTCCTAGAATTTCTAAAAATAGAATGGAAGGCAGATCTTTCAGTTATCAAACTCCTCTCCAGTTGAACCAACACAGAGTTAAACACAGAATAAGTTTCAGCTGCTTAAACTCACAAATACGTTATGTCCACACCTTTAAAATAAATACATCTTTCCATCATAGCTGTTCTGGACCTTGATCTTTGATGAACCAACTACCAGTTTTAGTGCATGAGGCAGAAACCCTGTCTACTTTTGACTTTCCTTTATGATAAAGCTTATAGTTAGAGTGGCTCAGATTATCCTGAGCTAGCTCTATAGTTATGCTGCTATAGGCTTAGACTGCTGGAGGACATAGGGACCCCTATTTCATTGTTCTATCTCTATTGTCCCTCTCTGCATTATCTACAGTGTAGTCCTGTTTTTCTGACTGTGACTAACTGGATGTGCTCTCTTCAACCTCTGACATTGGAGCTGGCTCGGAACTCGTCTACCTGGCTGTGTTTCCTGGACTGGGCCGCCTGTGGAGCTGGTTGACAGTTGCCTTCTGTGTCTCTGCTTATTTCTGTATGTCTGCTTCTGTCTCCTTGAACCCCAGTCGGTCTCGGCAGATGGCTGCTCCCACTGAGCCTGGTTCACTGGAGGTTTCTTCATGTTAAAAGGAAGTTTTTCCTCTCCACTGTTGCTACAAACATGTTTAATGTGAGGGATGGCCTTTGAATCAATGAGTTGGTGCAATGAACTGGTTTTCCCTAGATAGACAACCTATAATAAATTGACTACATGATCTAGTGGACTGTAAATTGCCTTGAGATTACATGTGTTGTGAAATGGCGCTATAGAAATAAACTGAATTAAATAGAAAACAATGCTTCGGTTTGTTGAATATTTGGTTCATAAAATGTCAAACATTTTAAAACATCAGAAGGTTAAAGTCATGTTTTCTGATAATGGAGAGCTGCTGTGGGAACTCACGGTTGTCCCTCAGGAGTGTTTTCTGGTATCTCGATGGTGAAGGAGGCATTAGTAAACTGTGGAGGCCGCGCTCCAGCAACCACTGATATGATGGCAGGAGCGCTGCGGCTGCCCAGCCCGTCGGCAGCTGCCACCGTCAGCAGGTACTCCCTGTCACGCTGCAGAGGCAGCCCCGTCGTTCGTATCTGGCCAGTCTTCCTGTCCACTTCGAATCGACCGTCACCGCCTGCAAACAGGTGGATGGACGAGGCGTTTAATCACAGAACAGACAGTTTAATAAACCTCACCAGCTGAAACAGAGAAGAAGCGGTGTGATGGACCTCACAGGAAACACAGGATGTGAGTTTGTCTCTGCATTGATGGAACGCAACCTGCTTCAGAATAACCAGACCTGCTGACCTTAGCGGGTCATGTGACTCTCAGACTGGGTCCGTCTGTTGGAGAACTGCTTCCTCTGATTGGCTGACAGCCCATGAATCCTTCTAGGTTTTTTTCATACTGAAGGACTGTTTAAAAAAAACGCTCACACATGCAGCAGTTTAGGATTTTATTAGTGAGAAGAGCTGTTTAGTCTCATTCAAAGCTGATTCTTTTATTACAGCTAAAACGTGCAACACGGTAAAAACCATGAAGAGGGACTGGGACATGCACAGTGGCAGTACGCAGGCTTTTAGCTAAAGTAGCAGCCATTCAAAATGGCCCTTCCCAGTCAAAAGCCAGCTCAATGGCAGAAAAATCCACTCCAACTTCCAGCACTGGCTCCACCCTTTCACTCAATTACAGGGTCTGACCAGGAGATGACGCTTCTCTTCTCATCTTAATGTCCACAAATCAGAAATAATATTTTAGATGTTTAAAAGGGAATAGTAGGGGACTAGCCAAGGACCAAACAAGGACCCATTAAGGAAAGTGAGGAAATTATGAATGGCTACTACTGTAGCAGTTCACTGAAAATATTAGAAATTGTATGCTCTAATTTCCCCCGCAAACTTCACTCAAATGTTCAAAATTTCAAAGCAGCAGATGCTGGAATTGGAAATTAATCAGAGAAGCTGATCTGGGAGCTGGAAGAGAGACAGACACAGCCCTGCTGATGCAGAGAGCTATGATCACTCCTCTGAAACAGTTTATTAAGGCCTAAATTAACTTAAAATGTCGAAACTCAGATGTTGAATATTAGTTATTTTGTCCTAATCTTTTCAGATGAATGCAAGGTGTGAGAAAACAATATGAGTCGTTTAATTTTACCAATAACAAACCTTTAATAAAAGTAAATTGAAACGGTGACATAAGGATGGTGCTGAAACTGAAGCCTCCACCCTCCATAAAGCAACTTTCCTCGCTGCAGCAGTTTTAGCAATAATTGTAGGTGTAGGTTCAAACTCTTACATCACTTGGGAAAACAAAGTGTTATAAATATTGACTGTGAATTATTAAATCATAACTTTTTTGCTTTAAAATGCATCAAATGATTTGAGTTTATCCAGTTAAACTTCAAACCAGAAGAAACCCGATGTTTTAAATGTTTGCTCACCTAAACATCTAACTTCTGTTAGATAATAAGATCTGCTCCTTATTTATTCAGCTGATTTACAGTATATTCAATCATGCTGGTGAACATTCTCAGTCAGCCAAGTCATAGTCATTCCAAAAAAGTTAAAAAACATTGTACTGGACTTTGTTTGAAGAGGTTTCGCTTAGCATTCAAAATGTCAGAAAAGGGAATTATTGACCTTGCTGAACAGGCAAGATCTATTCAGCAAGGCCAAAAATTCCCTTTTACGACCCCCTTTTCAGACACATAGACAGGTATGGGACATTGCAGGCCAACAAAAAGCCCAACGACCCTCATCCCAAAGGGGTGGACCCGTTCGTCCGTTTCAATTTGAATGTTTTCTAAACGAAAACAAGGCTTTGTTGGGCTGCTGTATAAAGCCTTGAACTCAACCCTATTTCTGACATTTTGAATTAGAAAAGCTTCCTGCATGAGAAGCAAAACGTCTTCAAACAAATTCCAGTGGATTTTTTTTTTTTTTTTTACTTTTTTGGAATATTCAATCATCCACACAGAAAAATCGTTCTTTCTATCTAAGCTATCCTGACTATTAATTAACGCAAATAGAGAAGAGTAAGAAAAACTATTATTTAGAGACATAAAGGTGTGAAAAGATTAGAGAGAAATCTAAAAGCAGCAGCACCACTTCCCCTCCTAGATGCTGTGATTAGGAGTAGATCGGAGCAGTCTTAACTATTCCACTCTCAGTCATGATGATTTGGCTGTATAAAAACCCTCGGGCTCATACTGAATGTGGCGTGTCTGCGGTGGTCGCGTCAACAAACCCAAATCATTTAAATCAATGCATAGACTCACAGCAGCCACGGTTGACTGCAGGCCCGGTTCCTTAGGCCCTGCAGCTCTGTAGGACACTCTGCTGGACACTGCAGCGACCTCCAATAAAGAAAGGCAAGGAAACAAAGGGGCCATTGCAGGATAGAAAGGAAGTTCTCACCCAGAGCTCCCAGTAAGAGTTTTTTTCTCCCCACCAGTGCTTCTGCAGCCGCGCCGCAGTCAGTATGAGCCCGGCATCATACACCAAAATACTGTTAAATGTTTATGGTTTAAATGTTTTATGTGTTTTATATGTTTTTAACAATGATATTTATTAATCAAATTGGATGTTTAAGGCTGACTGATGATAACCCAATTTAAAACATCACAGAAGACCAACAAAAAGATAAACTTTAGCAGGGAAAGGTCGATCCACTGAGGAGCTCTGCACTGCTTGGTCAGCCGTGGTTCTGCAGTCATGCCAGCGCCATCACTTCTGAACTCTCTATTCTTCCTGTTGTCAGAATCCCAGAGTTCCTCCATGGGCTCTATGGACATTAGAGCAGTTATGGCTACTTTCTGCAGTGTGGTCATTTTCCAGGTCCTGCAGGAAAACCCACCTTCATATGGCTCGTCAGCAGAAAGAAGCCTGAAGAGCTCTTAGTTTGCTGCTAGATGGCTGCGCTAATTATGGACTTAAGGAGACACAGTGAACCAGTAGAGGACACAGCACCCAGAAAATCACTTAAATTAGCACATTCTGCGACTCTTTAGCGCACCATCAGACGTGTGACCTGCATCACCAAAATACCTGGAAACTTCTAGTAGACTGTTCTTCTTCTCTTTAGCCCAGATTTTTTTATTTTATTATTTATTCATTAAAATAAAGCACCATAACAAAACCTGTGCAGGGGACAACTGAACTCATGAATGAAAGAAAAGGAGCAGAAAAAAGTCATAAAAGTTATATCTGTGCCAATTTTCAATAAAGTATTACTTATTCAACACAGATAATTACAGCCGTACAAAAATAAAAAAAAACACACCATGTTTACCAATACATATAAATAAATAAAACCAACTATACATCAGTCTACCCATTGTCATATTGACTCATCAAAATGACTTTCAAGTTTCTGTTAAAGACAGGATGAGTTTTAGCTGCTTTAAGTCACTAATGAGCTACCTCCACAAATCAACACCTTTAAAATGAATACATCTTTCCATCATCGCTGTTCTGTAGCTGGATTTTCGTGGAACCAACTAAAAGGTTTAGTCCGTGAGACAGACACCCTGTCTATTTTTAAGGGTAGGCTTAAAACTTTCCTTTTTGATAAAGCTTATAGTTAGAGTGGCTCAGGTTATCCTGAGCTATCTCTATAATTATGCTGCTATAGGCATAGACCTCTGGAGGACATAGGGACCACCATTTTATCATTCTGCTTTATTCTTTCTCTATTCTCCCACTCTACAGAATCTGTTAGTTCAATCTCTAACGTGCTGCTCTCTTTGCTTTTCCTCATAGTAGCTTCATCTGGTCTGTTCCTGTGTGGCTGTGACACCATCCTGGAGAGAAATATCAGCTGTGCTGCTGCCATCAACACCTTTGTTTATAGATGTTGGGGATCAGCCTGTTTTTCAGTGTAGTCCTGTTTCTCTGACTGTGACTGGATGTGCTCTCTTCATCGGGGCCGCCTTTTACAGTTGCCTTTTGTATCTCTGCTTCTTTTTCTATGCCTGCTTCTGTTTCCTTGAACCACAGTCAGCCTCAGCAGATGGCCACTCACACTGAGCCTGGTTCTGCTGGAGGTTTCTTCCTGTTAAAAGGGAGTTTTTCCTCTCCACTGTCGCTACAAGCATGCTTAGTGTGAGCGACTGCCTTCGATTCAATGAGTCGATGCAATCAACTGGTTTTCCTTTAAAGGAAAACTTTGAATCAATCTGACTGGATGATCTGGTGAACTGTAAAGTGCCTTGAGATGACGTGTTGTGAATTGGCGCTATAGAAATAAACTGAATTGAATTGAATTAAATTCAGCAAAGATCTTCAAACTGTAAGATTCCAAGCAAAAGATGTCAGTGACATTTTGTGGACTTTATTTAACAGGTAATGTGGTTGAGAAATGTATGTTGCAAAGATGCATGCAGCTGGACTTGAACTCAGGATAAGGCCTTAAGTGACACTTTATCCAAATCTGCCTTGAATCGTACCACTAATGTAAATTTTTTTTACAGTGGGTTTCAACCCTGGTCCTGCCCTGCATTTTTAGGTTTGTCTTTTCTGCCACACCTGGTAAAAGAGATACCTGGTGTTTCAAATTGGATCAACGATTCAGTTCAGTTCATTTCACTTATCGAACAACACATATCATCTTAAGGCTCTTCTTCAAAGACTTGATGCAGTAGATTGGATAAAAGTTTCTGTGACGAAAATCAGCTGATTGCATGGCGTCTCTGACTTATAAAACCTGCTCCTCCTGGATTAGTCTTTTTGTAGATTTAGCTGTTGACTATTCAACAGTGTTTTTTATGTGGACAAACAAAAAAACCTTCCTCCTGTTCAGAGTGTCATCCTGGTTGCCAAATCAAGAGAGATGAGGACATACCACAGCTGGATTCTAGGTGATTTAGCCACAGTGAGCTTTGTTCAAATATGTTTTCAGAACGCAGAAGCTTCATAGGTTTGCAGGCTGCTGCTCTTTAGCCAACATAAAATAACAAAAAAAAAAAAAACAAATGCTGCACTTTATCTCTGAAAGGATCATTAATTATAACCAATTATATGACTGTCTCAGCAACCAGGAAGTAAACAAAGACTGCACACCACACCGAGGTGTTCCTGATGTTATGAGAAAGGAGGAAAGCTGGAGTGGAGAGGTTTGAATATTACCTCCATCCTGAGAGACAAATGGGAGGATTTTGGTAATTTTTTTACTGCTTGCTCCTTTAGGGTCATCAGACATTTTTGGGGTTGATAAAGAGTAGAATTTAACATGTTCCTCTATTAATTGGTATTCCAAAAATAGTAAAAAAAAAAAAAAAAAACTTTGTTTTCAAGAGCATTCCTTACTCTGATCTTTTTATTAAAGAAACCAAACAACAGACACATGGCCCGACACAGAAGAGCGACCTCTGAGGTACACTATATTGCCAAAAGTATTTGCTCACCCATCCAAATTATTGGAATCAGGTGTTCCAATCACTTCCATGGCCACAGGTGTATAAATTCAAGCACCTAGGCATGCAGACTGTTTTTACAAACATTTGTGAAAGAATGGGTCGCTCTCAGGAGCTCAGTGAATTCCAGCGTGGAACTGTGATAGGATGCCACCTGTGCAACAAATCCAGTCGTGAAATTTCCTCACTCCTAAATATTCCACAGTCAACTGTCAGCTGTATTATAAGAAAATGGAAGTGTTTGGGAACGACAGCAACTCAGCCACGAAGTGGTAGGCCACGTAAACTGACGGAGCGGGGTCAGCGGATGCTGACGCGCATAGTGCGAAGAGGTCGCCAACTTTCTGCAGAGTCAATCACTACAGACCTCCAAACTTCATGTGGCCTTCAGATTAGCTCAAGAACAGTGCGCAGAGAGCTTCATGGAATGGGTTTCCATGGTCGAGCAGCTGCATCCAAGCCATACATCACCAAGTGCAATGCAAAGCGTCGGATGCGGTGGTGTAAAGCACGCCGCCACTGGACTCTAGAGCAGTGGAGACGCGTTCTCTGGAGTGACGAATCGCGCTTCTCCATCTGGCAATCTGATGGACGGGTCTGGGTTTGGCGGTTGCCAGGAGAACGGTACTTGTCTGACTGCATTGTGCCAAGTGTAAAGTTTGGTGGAGGGGGGATTATGGTGTGGGGTTGTTTTTCAGGAGCTGGGCTTGGCCCCTTAGTTCCAGTGAAAGGAACTCTGAATGCTTCAGCATACCAAGACATTTTGGACAATTCCATGCTCCCAACTTTGTGGGAACAGTTTGGAGCTGGCCCCTTCCTCTTCCAACATGACTGTGCACCAGTGCACAAAGCAAGGTCCATAAAGACATGGATGACAGAGTCTGGTGTGGATGAACTTGACTGGCCTGCACAGAGTCCTGACCTCAACCCGATAGAACACCTTTGGGATGAATTAGAGCGGAGACTGAGAGCCAGGCCTTCTCGTCCAACATCAGTGTGCGACCTCACAAATGCGCTTCTGGAAGAATGGTCAAAAATTCCCATAAACACACTCCTAAACCTTGTGGACAGCCTTCCCAGAAGAGTTGAAGCTGTTCTAGCTGCAAAGGGTGGACCGACGTCATATTGAACCCTATGGATTAGGAACGGGATGTCACTTAAGCTCATATGTGAGTCAAGGCAGGTGAGCAAATACTTTTGGCAATATAGTGTACATCCATGCCTTATGGACAGAGGACTTTTTTTTGAGGACCAAAATGTTCACATTTTGGACAAAGAAGACAGTGGTTTGAGAGTGACATGAAGAAGCCATGTATGTTAAGTAAGAAAAACCAACCTTAGACAGAGGGGCTGGACTCTGGATTTCTTGATTTCAGCTTTCAAAAGCCTATAATGCAGTGATAGAGTTGATTGCTTCCTGCTATCATTGCGGCCCCCACCCCATGCAGAGGAGCAGAGCACCTCCCTTTTCAGCAAAGCCAATAATTCCCTCTAACGACTGTCTCTCAGAGACAAAGACAGGTATCCGTATTGCAGGCTAACAAAAAACCCTAACGACTGCCCATTCCTAATTGGCGAACACATTTGTCTGTTTCAATTTGCTTGTTTTCTAAGCCAAAACAAGACTTTGCTTTTGTTCCACTCAAACAAGCCTCGAAATCAACGCTATTTCTGACATTTAGAATTGAAAAAGCTTCCTGGATGGGAAGTGAAACCTCTTCAAACTTGGAAACAAAGTCCAGGGGATTGTTCTTAACTTTGTTTGGATGCACATTGTTCTCACTGCACGCTCAGTTTGGTGACACCAAATTATGTGATAGATTTTGAAGAAAAAAAACATGTTATGCAAGGTATGCCTGAAAACTGTTGGGACACATCCAACCGCCACCTGCAGCACAACCACGCAGTTGAGTTTAAAGATGTACAAAACGTTCCTTAGCTTTACGCAAAAACCTTTTTGGAATGACTATGACCTGGATGAGTGAGAAACTTCACCACCATATCAATTGTTATCCAAAATAAAAACCAACTTACCATCAGAAAGGAAGTATTCAACTTCACCATTAAGGCCTTCATCTCCATCCTGAGCTTGGAGTTTGTACACCAGTGAACCTGCCGGGGCATCTGGGGAAACGACTGCGAGGTAGGGAGCAGGAAGCATGGTCCATTGTGGGATGTTGTCGTTTACATCCGTCACAGTCAATTCCACTCGAACCAGGTACCACTCTGGACCTGAAGGGCGAGGAGAAGGAAGAGCAGTTTAGGGTTTATGCTGTGGCAGAAAGATAATACAATGGACACTGTTTAAGGGCTATTTGTCTTTTTTCCACTCTATGCCTAGTCTGTAACCTTTAACAATTGTTTTTAAAATGTCACAGCGGCTGACTGTATGCCCTGTAATTTCACCATTGTTGATAATGTGGAGAAAAAAGACCAGAGATGCCATGGAGGATAAAGCACATGAACGAACTTTTAGGGTTTATCAATTGGCAGAAGCTCTTATTAGGGGAAAACGTTTTATCCATGAGGTCTGGTGGGATTATTGCCAGGCTCTCTTGGAGATGGATTTTCTTCTGCAGACGAGAGGAAATAACACAATATTTAGCAATTGAAGAAAGAATGAAAAACTGAGGTGTTTACTTGTTTTACACTAAACAAATAAACATTTAATTAAATGAGCAAGAAAAGCATTGATTCCAGTGACCAAAGTTTCATGACACAGTGGAAACTTAGATGTTTTCTCTAGCGTTTATTGACCAGGTATTTCAGAGATTTTGCAGCTGACCGGGGCTGAAACAATAATCCAGATTAATCGTGATTAATTGATTATTTAAATAATTATTAACAATTTAGAAATCAATTCATCGTAAACTGGAGTATAGAGACTGTAAAATATGTCTTTAGCTGACAGAGCGACCCACTTAGAACTGTAATTACATTAAATTTGTAGAAAGTTAAAAAGTTAAAAAAGTAAAAAAAAAAAAAAAACATTTTTGTCTGTCTATATGGTCTATCCAGTACTGCTCAAGAGTAAATGTTTTAGTTTAAAAATTAAAAAAAAATTGTTAAGCAATCTTTGGCTATCATATTATTAATCAATTGATCAAAAAAAATAATCAATAAACAATTAATCGATTAACAAAATAATCATTAGTTGCAGCCCTAGGCTAACTAAATGTTGCATATGCTTAATGATAACAATCAAAAACTGAAACGAACTCTTGACCGCTCAAGGTTTACAAAGGAAAAAACATCAGTGAACAATCAAACACCCATGTTTGCTACTTAACACCATGAAATAAGAGCTGATATTTGAGAGTGAAAATCTAGAAAATGATTATAGGAACTAAATCTACCATAGATTTCAATAAATTACCATAGTTTTCATCAGGCTTGTATAAACTCCTTAGTCCTCCACTTTCCTTCCTCATAAATGCTTTGCTAGCCAGAAATATTACAGCTATATAGGGAGAACAGACAACTGTGAAATCACTGAGAGGTCAATCATCTGACCCAGTGGGGTCTTTATAATACCCGAACCCAGATCACAACGCAAACCCCTTTACAGGAAAACAGAAGACCAGCCAGCCAACAATTCCGTTTAACGACCCCTCTTTTAGTGACATAGACAGGTATGGGGCATTGGACTGACAAAAGAAGCCAAACGACTCCCATTCCAAGGGGTGGCTTGTTGGGCTGTGGTATAAAGCCTCAAACTCAGCGTAGTTCATGACATTTTGAATTGAAAAATCTCCCTGGATGGGAAGGAAATGTCTTGAAACTTGCAAACAAAGTCCAGTGGTTAAGATCAGTGCCACTGCAGAGCTAATGGTTATGCAGCGTGTCAAACTCCACATCCCACCTGACTGAGATCCTACAGGTCCTACAAGTTGATAAGTCAACAGACCAAGCCCACCGCTTTGCCACTCGGAGCTCCATTGAAAGCTCCTCATCATGCATCCAGATTCTGCTTGTTGATTTCAGCTCCATCTGTTCTAGCTTGGAACCTTCCTGTCTGTAGACCAGTGAATCTCTGACCAACAGATACCAGCAGCTCCTCATTCTCCCCCATCTTCCGAAATACTACTGTGCCTTACTACTAGGAAGAAGTAAAGGTTCACAGGTCAAAATATCTGGGTTGGACTGTGAATGGTGCCACGTTCTTCCTCATCAATGCGGATGATGCTGAAAACCTGCCTAAACAATGGGCGTACAGCAGCATGCCAGCTGCTCTGCAGCCAAGGAGGAACCACCACGGTGCATCATGAAGGATGCGCAGTAGATCCCTGGCTCTCCACTACTACAATAGTAGCAATTCAAATTTCACCACTTTCCTTGATGGGTTCTTGACTGGTTCTTGGCTGGTCCTTGACTGGTTCATGGCTGGTCCTTGACGGGTCCTTGGATGGTTCTTGACTGGTTCTTAGCTGTTCCTTGACTGGTCCTTGACTGGTTCTTGGCTGGCCCTTGGCTGTTCCTTGACTGGTTCTTGGCTGGTCCTTGGCTGTTCCTTGGCTGGTCCCCTACAATTCCTTTTTAAACATCAATATTTGCACTAAAAAACTCTTTCTGTCATGATTTGGGGACATTAAAATATGAAAAGAAGCATCATCTCTTGGTCAGACCCTGTTATTCAGTGAAAGGGTGAAGTCAAAGCAAAAAAAATATGCAGGCTGGAAGTTGGAGGGGATTTTGCAGCCAATAGGCTGCCATTCATGCTTTTAACTGGGAAGGGTCATTTTGAATGGCTGCTACTGTAGAGGAGCAATCTCCTCCAAAATGCCCACAAAGGTTTAGGACAACCCAGCGCTCCTCAGAAGCCTTTCCTCTGGAGACTTCCAGTCATCAGAGACTACGCTGATGGGCTTAAACACAGCATGTCCCCCTAACACACACAGATACATTCCAGTCAAATAAAGACGGCTACATTTTCTGGGACCGACATCATCACAGAACATATAATAAACTACGCACCTTCACTTTGTCTGACAATGATGCTGCCAAGTGATGGTTCACATAACTCTGTCTTCTTCTTGAATATTATCAGCCTCATTTTAAGGTTGGGTTTTGTTTGTGTGATACTTTAATTTAGTCATTAGATCTTTGTTTCAAACATGGATAGAAGTGACACCATGAAACCAGTGTTTTACTCAAGGTTATGTTTTCCCTCTATTCTTTAAGAGATCAGAGATCTATAACCCACCAGAAAAAAAGAAAACAACACCAGACTATTGCAGCATCTAAACCAGTAATTACAATCAGCACACTTAAATGCATTGGAAACAGCAATCAAAAGAAAACATCAGTTCAATCACACACACACACACACACACACACACACACACACATACACACACACACACACACACACACACACACACACACACACACACACACACACACACAGCTTTATTGGCTGTGACAGCAGGCATGAGAGGGAAAAAATAATTTGTCTATACATTTAAAGTTACTATTAGACTGAAACTACCTTTAAACATTTCCATATTGGATCCTGTTACAATCCAGCATTTTATTGGGACTTTAAAGCTTGATGTAAAGCGCTGCTGTAAAACACACACTCTCTCAAGTTTTCTTAACAAGTACAAATCTGAAAAGAATTTGTATCCACTCCTCCTGAGCCAATATTCTGTTCATATTCTGCAGTGATTCAGGAGGAAAGCAGATTAGCACATCTAGAGCAGAACAGCCATCAGAATCAGGATGTGTGATGTGGAATATATTCCTCATGTGGAAAATGAAGGGATTTGGATGAAGACTTTGACTAGGCCATTTAATCCAAGAATAAGCTTTGATCTACCTCTCAGTTGATTTAAGTTCTAGGAAGTTTGCATTGTTGTTTCTACGTCCTGCTCTAAGTAGCTCCACTCCTCCTCATTAGGTCTGTCCCAATACAAATGTTTCATTTCCAACAAGGTACCGTTATTGACGCCATACAATTTCAAGACTAATTGAGCATACTTTAATTATTTATTTTGCAGAGTTAATTAGTTGATTAATTTTATTCCCGTGGCTCTAATTTGGAGCACATTTCATTTCAATGTATTTCCAGAGACAATTTAGTCAGATTGGTCAAATGTTTCCTGTTCTGAAACCAGCTGATTGGATCCAGTCAATGACTCGATCCCTTTGATCAACTGACCCATCTTTACTAGCCAATGGCTACTGAACTTTAAACAGAAGGAGTGTATGTACGCTATCGCAGACACTGTGATAGCTATACAAAATGAAATTTTGGTTTGTAGACACAGTGTATACAAAACAACAATAAAAATTGTCATAAAAAGTTGTCTACGTCTCACACACATTAGTGCATTAGGAGCCCTTTGCCACCATCTGGGGTCATGGCCCTTATATTTCCATCCTGTATAAATACCTGAACTATATTCAATTTTTTAGAACTGAAATTCATTCATCACGTTGAAGGTGATCTTTTCCCAAATAGCTGCTGGAGCTGGGAGTTTTTACAGAGGATCTGCTCCGATCATCTGCCATATGTTTGCTTTACGTTCATGGATGAAGATACAGTAAATTGTAAACAGGACTTCTCATTTTCCACTTTTCCCTAAAGGGCAGATTTTTCTAACTGATCCAATCTGACCTGACTCATGGGTCTCCACAGCCCTACCAGAGTTATGAAAGGAGTCTGGTTCTCTTGGATTAAGGTTCTACTTACCCAGCTTTTCATTTTAGGAATTGGTGACGTATTGCAGGATTGTAGCTTTGCTATACCCTTTACATTTTCATATTATGGAGTAGACTTTGTGAGCGGGGTAGAGCTTTGGATGGGCTTTACTAACATAACTACAACAGAATAAACACATTAAGGACCATCTGCTTGAAGCATTTCCTGTGTGTCTTGGTCTTCATCCCGTTGTATGTTCGCAAGTGTCTCCAACACACTTTGAGTCCAGTTATATTAGGGTTGAATTACACACAGGGGGATGTGTAAAATTATATAATCCCTATAAAATAATGGGAATCAATTCAAACTGTAATATTGCTCTAAATGGTTTTACTTCTGCAAAACAAAGAGAGGGTGCTAATGTCAGGAAACCATTGTGCACCAGAGAGCACAGCTGGGCAACAGGCGAAGAGAAGCAGGAGCTGAGTTTAATATGAATGGGATTAAAACTAAAGTACAGGAGCTGGGTTTAGCATTAACGGGATTAAAGTTAAAGTACTGGACATGGGTTTAGTGTGAACGGGATTAA